CACACCCCTGCTGTTCTGTCCTCCTATTAGCTGCTGTTTCCCTGTGGTGGGAAACCTTGCAGCTGTTTATGGTGGAAGCAAAGAGTGTACAGCTTAGAGATACCCAGAAACAGGGTTATTTTCTCTAGGCCTCCTCTGCTTTTCTGCTAAGCTGGCAGTCCCCATCCAGTCTTCTGTACTGAAGGACTGTCTGGGATTTATTCTACTTTGCAGTGAGCTCACGTGCTTAGTGGCTGTGCTAATGGAGAAGTCTGGATGGCCCATGTAAGGGCTCTTCAGGGAAGAGAAATAGGAACTGAAGTCCAAGAAATGGACCTGCCAGTGGCCTCACTTCTTCCTTTTCCATTGATGGCTGAGGGAGACACTGGGTGACTTGCCAAGGCCTAGTTCTAAGTATCCTGTCTTGCTCCCTGCAGAGTTGTCTCACAGCTCCTTGCAGAGCTTGATGGCCTTCATTCCACCAGAGAGGTGTTTGTCATTGGAGCTACGAACAGGCCTGACCTCTTGGACCCAGCTCTTCTACGGCCAGGCAGGTATGTCACATCCTGCCCTGCCTCACTCCAGGGGGGTTCCCCTGAGCTCCTCAGGCCATGGTGAGCAGGACTGTGTCCCCACCATGTTCCCTCTACAGAGATTGTTTGTGAAGGCCCCTGGCTCACAGGAAGCCAAGAGGAGGCTGGTGCCTGTGGCTGTAGAAGTAGCATAAGATACCACGGCTTGTTGCCCCCACCATATTCTGGTTACCGCCCCAGCAGCACAGCAGGGCAATGAGGGACCTGCTGTTGCACCAAACAATGGCAGGAATTGGTGCCCCAGGGCTCTTTCTGCACAGCTGCCCCCCACAGTCCTCAAGCCTGTGACTTGCTTGTCCTGGGGCAGCACTTTGTATCTGCTGTTGTTGGACCCTGTGTGGTTCCTGTCAGTCCATTTCCCCAGCCTGCTGCTGTCCCTCCAAGCAGCCCTGCCCTCCAGCACATGGACTGCTTCAGGCTCTGTATCATCCATGAACTGGACAGCAAAAGGAGCTGTCCCAGGGCCACCCTTCAGCTCCTGGTGCACAGGGTTGAGCACTTGTGTCAGGTTTGCTTTGGCCTGTTCCCAGCTGCCTTCTCTCTTCTGACAGGTTTGACAAGCTGGTCTACGTGGGCATCAGTGAGGACCGGGAGTCGCAGCTGCAGGTGCTGAGCGCCGTCACCAGGAAGTGAGTGACCCTATGCAGTGTCCTCCCACCACCCTCCAGGAGGTCACAGCCCTCCTGGGGCTGATGCCTAGCATGCTCCATCTTGCCTTCATGTCTGAGCCCTGGGGAGCACCTGAGGTCACTGAGCCACAGCCAGTGGGTAGGGCAGGAGGACAGAGCAATTTCCAGAAACTGAGCTGAGACTTTTTTCTACAAGATGGGTGAAGCTCAGCCTCCCTGTCCAAGTGGAGGGATTGGTAGACTTTTCCAGCCACTGTGGTCTTCTTAAGGAGTTCAGCCAGATCCTGATGGTGTAGTTGAGATTGCAGTGCAGCTGCAGGACAAGAAGCTCCCATTTGATTCCTGAAAGAGTTCTGCTGTTTTCCAATCCAGTGTGAAGGCAGCTCCGTTCAGTTCATTGCCTATACTCCTGTGGTGCTCAGAGGTGTTCAGATGATGATCTATGTGTCTTCCCAATCACTGGTTGTGTAGGATCGCTGAGCAGTAGGGTTTGGCTGCTTTTAGAGCTGCTCTGAGCTTCTGAGAGCATCTCTGGAGGGAGAAAAGCAAGCCCTGCAATTCAGATGCCACCCACCACAGCTGGGTGAGTGGCTGTGACTGCCTCTGCATGGACTCTATCCTGGATAGCTGTGATCACCTCTGCCTGTCACCCTAAGTTAGTAGGAGAGGTGAAGAGTGTGGGCTGGCTGCAAGCAGCTTGTCACACCCTGTGTCTTGGCCACCATATGCCTTCCAGCAGCTGCTGGTCATGCTGAAGGAGGCTCACTGTCTGCAGTGTGGATCTGATGGGGTGGTTTGGTGTTACAGTGGTTTGTACTCTGTCATTAAGCATGTTCTCTTCCAGCCCTGACTAGAGGTTGTTCCCAGGCATGTGGAGCACTTAATTTATTTAGGTGAGAAGTCAAGCACCAGTGGCATAAGCAGATGGTATTCTAGAGAGTTCAGCCTGCATCCTTTGTGCTTCCTAGCCTGGAACCAGAGAGACCTAGAGAAGTTGTAGATGCTCCATCCCTGGACATGTTCAAACCCAGGCTAGATGGGGCTTGGAGCATCCTTGTCTAGTGGAAGGTGTCCCTGCCTATGGCAGGGGAGTTGGAGCTGGATGATCTTTAAGATCCCTTCCAACTCAGACCATGCTGTGCTGTGGTGCTGTGATTCAAAGTTTCCTTTGATCCTGCTTAGCAGGAGAGAGGACCTTGCTGCAGGGATGTTTCAAAGAGAGGTGACTGAAAAAAAAACAGTAAAGCAAACTTTTTTTTTTTTGAGCATGCAGAGCACATTCTGGAAGTGGCTAAACATGGATACTCTGCTTGTTCTTGCCCAATCACACTGGTCTGTTTTTTCTTGGCCTTTACACCTCCATTTTCTCTCTTGGCAGGTTTAAACTGGATCCTTCTGTGAATCTTACCACCATCCTAGAAAAATGCCCAGCTCAGCTGACAGGAGCAGACATCTACGCCCTGTGTTCAGATGCCATGATGTGTGCTGTCAAACGCAAGGTGGAGTGGATTGAGGAAGGTAGGAGCCCTGCCCTTAGCTGTCCCAGCTGTTGGAGCAGCCCAGCATGGGGTAGAGAGGAGAGTTACCACTGCTGGTAGCTGGGCTGTGTGAAAAGATCCTCAGCAGCTTTGGGACTACAGTGCTGGGCTCTGGGTTATTGCCAGGCAGGCAGTTTCTGCACATGTGGTCATCTCCTATTCCAGTGCTTGGCCCCAGGGGGAAGGAGAGAGACACAGGTTTTCCTTGCTGTCTTTGATGGCTGGAGAGTGGGCTTTTGGATCTTGCCAGCTGCCCCCGTTCTCAGCCCTTTCATGTTGTTTCTGTCATGCAGGACTGGATACTGAGAAGTCTGCTCTGATCCTGACCATGGAAGACTTTCTGCAGGCTGCTGCCAAGTTGCAGCCATCAGTGTCTGAGCAGGAGCTGCTCAGGTACAGACTTATCCAGCAGAAGTTTGCGGCCTCCTAATGCTCAGCAGAGCTGGGACTGGAGAACAGGCACAAAGATGCACCTGCCTGCTCTTCTCTGATGCCTCCTGGGCCCCCTTCTTTTGAGCTTGGGTGGAAAATAGTGTCTGTGCAGTTTCCCAAGCCAAGGCCTGGTGGAAGTGCTACTCTGGTCATCCAGGAGGGTGGTGGCTTCTGTAAGAGTCCCTCACATATCAGCGGTGTGCTGTGGCTGCTGGGAACATAGCAGGGTGACTTCCTTGCTGGGACAAAGCTGTGGGCAGTGTAGTGGTGTCTCCATGGGTGACAGACCATTCATTGGTGGTGGAGCAAGGCTCAAACTGCACCTGGTTTGGCAGCAAGTGTAGGGCTGGAGGCAGCTGCTTCTTGGGCTGTCAGCCCCCAGTGAGAGGTGCTGGCCAGAGGGGCAGCAGGACCCAGGGCACTGCTGCTTCAGCTGGCTTGGACTTGACATAGTCTCTGAATAAATACAGGTTTTTTAGCACTAAGTGCTCATTGCCTGACCTCAAGCTATTGCTTCTGATGGTGTCTGTAGGCTCAGGAAAATCCCTGCAAAATTTTGGGTGGGCTGGGTGGTGCAGAGAGATCATTGTCCTGTAAGTAGAGAGGGAAGCACACCTGTGAACTAAACTGGGGCCACTCTCATCCTGCCAGAATGGCTGGAGCCCGTGGTGGATGAGGAAGGCGTGAGGGAGAGGAACTTGCCTGGCTCTGAGCTGAGCTCCCTCTGCAGAAGGAGCCCAGTTCTTGCTGGAGACACTGGGTGACAGGACATGAAGCAATGGGAGCAAGTGGCAGCAAAGGAATTCCCATTGGATGAGAGGAAAATCATGTCACAGGAAGAAGGGGAGCTTCAGCCTTGGAAATACTCAAACCTTGTTTGGAACAGCCTGGAGCTTCCCATTCTGCATAATTTGTGCTGAGTACCACTTGGCCCAGACCCCCTAAGGTCCTGTCTCACCTCCCTCTGCAGCCTCACAGCAGCTGCTGGTGGCATTGCATATCCCCTGCTTCCCAGCCTTTCCCAGGGGTGCTGAACAAATGGCACCAGAACTGTGTTTGGCAGCTGCTGTGGCCAGGTGCTTGCAGCTGCCCTCAGCTTTGTGCAGCCCAAGGGGTTGTTGGTGCTAGGTTTTGCCCCATCTGCTGTAGGCGCTGATCCTTCTGACAGCTGGATCCCTGAGCCAGGCATAACTGTGAGGGCCTGCTCCCCCTGGAGCTCCTTTGCTAAGGGTTGGTTCCACAGGAGCTCCTGGCATTCCATGTGTGAGTTTGCAGCTGGTGCATGCCTGAAGCCCTGTGGCTCTGGCTCTGGCGCCTGAGCATGTTCAGGCAGGGCAGTCCCTGACCGCACTGCTCTGTGCTGCTGGATTCTGGGCACCACTTCTTCCCCAGGGTGGAAGGGAGGGAGCTGCAGCCACAGCAGAAGCACTAGCGGAGGCTTCAGTGTAGAGCCTCCCCACTCTGGGAGCTCAAGTGGGGGAATGAGTATCCCTATATGGGACTGAGGAGTGTCAAGAAAAGGAGTCAGCACCTGTTTGGGAGGTGCACGTGAGAAAACAGGTTCCAGCACACTCCTGTGAGCAGTGCTGCAGAGACTCAGCTGGGATGTGCAACCACCTGGGAGCAGCTCACCCCTCCTTCCGCTTCAAGGGGGCCCTCAAGCCCCACACTGCTGGCACCTGCAGCTGGGGACTTGGCAGGGCAGCTGTGCCTGCACCCATCCTGTGCCACCCCCGGGCTGAGCACCTCCTTCCACAGAGTCCTGAGGAGTCAGTAGCCGTCCCCCTTGCCCCATACCCTGCCCATACAGGGACACACGGACCATGATCTCAGGTAGCTCTCACAAGTGTTCTTAATTAAGGGGAGGGGTCTCCCAGGTGGCTCTCAGCCAAGTCCCCACCCCCTGCTTGGACCCACAGCTGCTTGGGAGCTCTCAGCCACCACAGTCCCATCTCTGTAGGCCCCTCAGCCTGTCTTCTTCACGACATGGATGAAGTAGCAGGGCACGTGGGCCTGTCCTGGTGTGTAGGGCTGGAAGTCGCCCAGGACGCTGTGCTGGCACTTTCCCTGGAAGGCACCTTTCAGCAGAGCTGTGAAGGCCTCCAGCCGGTGTGGGTAGTACGAGAGCCGAAACTTGCTGCAAGGAGGCAGTGCTGGTGAGGCAGGGGGACAGTGGGGCACAGTGCCAGCCACCCCCCCACGCCAGGAGCCACCTCCGCATCCCTCCTCACCTCAGCTCCGGGTCTGCCCCCACCTCAGTGGGGGGGACCTGCACTGTGTAGTCCAGGGTCACCATGTGTGCCTTGTTGTTCACCAGTAGCACTGAGGTGGTGATGTCCTTGGTCAAGTCACTCTGGGAGACCACAGGAGGACATATGTATCCTGTGGGGACTTGGTGACCCCCAGCCTGGGCACAGTCCTGCTGCCTGCCCTGCCTGGCCCCCTTTGGGACAATGGGGATGGGGCAGAGGGGATTGGGATGGGCAGGGTCTGCCAGCCACCGACCTTGTAGTAGATGTTCTTGCCGGGTGGTGCGCAGCCCGTGGCCAGGATGTGATCGTAGTTGCGGTGGTCAATGACCAAGACACCCCCGGGCCGCACCATGCTGGCGATGTTTCTCAGGGCCAACTTGTGGTCACTCTGGTCCCCTGGAGAGGAATCTATGGTGTCTCCAAGCACTGGCTGTACCCCGTGGCACAGCCCATGTGCCCTCATTTTACCCATACACACATACACATGCACACACACAGATACCTGACCCTACCATCTTGCCCCAAATCTCAGCTTGGAGAACCCACAGCCCCACCCATGGCATGAGCTCAGGCACGTTCTCAGCCTCACTGGACCAGAGCAAGTCACGTGGGAAACCCACCACCCACCTTTGTGGCACAAATCTGGGTGTGCCTCCAGCTGATGCACAAACCTCCACCATGACCATGGAACCCAGTGGGTGCATTCATGTCAACAGTCTGGGGCAGTGGGGCCTCGGCTCCACCCTCCCTGGAGATGCAGCGTGAAACAGCAGCTCCACTGGGTGTAATCCCATCCCACTAATGCCATGACTTAGGACACGTTCTCACCTTGGTGGAAGGCACTGTGCACGCATAGGTGCTCCCCCTTCTCTCCCCTGCCCCAACTCACCTTTGAAATCAGGCAGGTGTGCAAAAGAGTTCCCGAGGCAGATGACTGCATCAAACCCATCCCCTGGCTTCTCCAGGTCCTTCTCCAGCGTGAGCCAGTTGGCCTCCTCGATGACTGCAGCACAAGGAAATGGATGAAGGTAGGGACACCCAACTGCCTCCCCTGCCTGCAAGACACCTTCCCAGCATTACCCAGCCTTTCCCAAACCCTTGAGGGTGTTGGCTGTGGCCTCTGGCCAGCAGCCAGACAAGCAAGGACCGTGGCTTGTCTGCCGAGCATCTGGCACTGTCAGGTCCCTGCAGCAAGGCCACCCGGCCAGCGGCAGTCCCAGATGAGCGGCCCGAGCACTGCGAGGGGCCATTGACATTGCTCTGGGGGACAGTGTCAGTGTCCTCAGGCCCCTCCCGACCCCCAGAGCCCCCGCACCCCATCGGTCGAAGGGCTCCTCCTTGCGCCGCTCCCAGCGCTCCTTCAGCGCGTACTTGAGCATCTTGTCGCTGGCATCGACGCTGGTCACCTGGAAGCCCTCCTCGAGCAGCATGATGGAGTCCACCCTGGGGACATGGCTGTCAGCGGGGCCGGGGGCAGCCGGAGGGGCGGGGAGGGGGCTTGGAGGGAGGGGGGCACTGGGGATGGCCGGGCAGGGGGAAGGAACACCTGGGAGGTGGGCGGGAGCGGGGCGCAGGGCCTCACCCGGTGCCGCAGGCCACGTCCAGGACGGAGCGGCAGCGGTGCTGGCGGAGCAGCGCCAGGAGCCAGCTACGGTACTCGGCCGTGCGGCTCCGCGTGTCCCCGATGTACAGCTGCCACACGCGGGCCGCCTGCCCGTCCGCGTACTGGTCCGGCAGCCCCTCCGCCGCCACTCCCAGCGACCGCGTCCGGTACACGCTGTCCACCATGCCGCCGCCGCCACGGACCCGGACACCGACAGCGCCGCGGCCCCTCAGCCTCGCTGCGCCGCGCCCCGCGCGCCCCGCCCCCGCGCGCCCGCCAATCCGCGCCGCGTCCGCCCCCGCCGCGCCGCCAATCGCCGCTCGCGCCGCGCCCCTCCCGGGCCACGCCCCCCGGGCCGCGGCCCCGCCAATCCGCGCCGCCCGGCGGCGCTCGCGCCGCGCCCCCTCACGGCCCCGACCTTTGGCTCAGCGGGGCCCGGGCCCGGCGCGGCCCGCCCGCCCCTCGCCGGCCTCCCGGGCAGGCAGCCTGAGCCCGCACCCAGCAGCAGCAGAAGCAGGGCCGGCAGTGCCGGCGGCGACTCTGGGGAAAACGTCTTTATTTACAGTCCCGGCGGCGTGCGAGGAGCCGGCGGTGGGCAGCACTCGTGGCCTCCCGGAGCTAGAGCCTCCGGCAGGGATGCGGCAGGGCTGGGTCCGCGGCTCCGGGCCGCCTAATCGCGGGATAGCACCCAGGCTGGCAAGGCGGGGCCCGGCGCTCCGGTCCGCCCCGGGTCACAAGTCCCTTTTCCTTTGGTACCCATAGGCACAGCGGGGTGAAACCCCGGAGTGGGCGGCCCCGGGGGCAGGGGCTGCGTGCCTACAGCTCATCAGCTGGGCTGTGGGTGAGCGGAGCCTGCTCCTGGACCCCCTCCAGGGCCTCCCCTGTGTCCGGAAGGCTGGCAGCTCCCTCGCGCTCATCCTTCTGGCCCTTTTTCTTCTTTTTCCCGCTCTTTTTTTTGCTCTGCTTCTCCCCCACGCTTGCCAAATCACCCTTCTTGCCAGTCCACTTTTCTGCCAGGCAGCCTAGGGAAAAGAAGAGAAGAGAGGGACAGAGTGGGCTCTGGTGAAGAGGCAGGACTCCCCATGCTGTAGCAAGGTGCCCCTGCCCTCCTGATCATTCCTGTGTTATTTCAGCCCCTGGCAGCAGCCAGGACTTACTTGTGTCCTTTCCTTTTAGCACGTGGTTGGCACAGAGAAACTGGGAGAGATCCTCCGTCTGGTGGTGCCTGTACCAATCTTCAATCACATCTTCATACTCTTCTACCAGCACATCGCACTAGGGCAGAGAGGAGAGCCCAGCTCCAGACAGGTGCTGGTGTGGCAGGACCAGGGCCAGGCTCCTGCCACAGGTCCTGCCAACATCCTGCTTCCAGCAGCACGGCCCAGGATGCTCTCCCCACTTCCACTCCTTCCACTCCTTGTAGGCTATGACCAGCCTACAAGGTCATAGCAGCCACTGAGGGCCAATCCCAGAGGGTGGGGTACCTGCTTTTTGAGGTCAGCCACCTCAGCGGAGGTCTCATTCCAGAGCTCGTAGGGGATGTCCATCACCACCTTGACACCCTTGTGCACCAGATTGTGCAGGGTCTCGAATGTCTCTGACATGCCCTGTGAGGGAGGGAGCAGCACTGCATGGTGAGATGGTGCTCCTCCTGCAAAGCCCCCACTCTCCCCTCCCAGTGTCAGCCACACAGCCCTGCCCAGCCAGCCATGCAGGAACATATGCAAAACAGATCCGCGGGGCATCAGTGTTACCAGGGGGAGTTCAAGTGGCAGCTGGTTCCTCTCTGCAAACCTGGTCCCAAACCCAAGAGGAAGACAGCCCCACGTTCCCTCCATGCAGGCAGGAGCCTGCCCAACAAAGACAGCACCCCACATCTGACTTGGGGGGTAGTGTGGCACTATCAGGGGATCCAGAGGATGGGAACAATGGACCTGGTTTGTAACTTTGGCAGTGAAGAGATGGGTGAGGCACATTTGGGAGCAGGAACTGAAGGAACGGCCCTCACCTTTGCAAATCTGTTACTGCCACTCCTCTCCTTGTGCAGGTTGTAATCCAACAGCCGCTTGCAGATGTTCTCTGTCACCTCAATTAACCGAATGTCCCTGCATGGAGAGAAGGAAGGGCTCAGGCTTGGTGTGGGCCCCCAGCAACAGCCAGGGTGAGCCTCTCAAAGCCCCCAACTCCCAAACTCCCGTCCCATTCCCACTTACGACTGTGTGTACTTGACAGCAGAGCCCTTCCCGTCCAGGAAGCCATACTTGGTGTCGATCACCTCCTTGGTCTTGCCAGTCTCCTCAAAGGCAGATTTCAGCTCCACAGCTACATACTTGCACACTGTGGGAAGGAGAGAGCACAAGGGGTTTAGGGGGTGTCACTGTTCAGACAGGCAGCATGACAGAAAACCTGGGACAGCAGCAAGAACCAGCCCAGGAACTGGGCACACCAAAGCTGCTGTAAGCACAAAACACATTTTGGCTGTCCAAAGAAATAACCAGGAATGGCTCAGCTGCTTCCACAGGAGAACGCTTGAAGCAGGAGCACACAACCAATGTTTCAATGTCAACCAAATGCTGTGGCACAGCTGGAAGGCACATGGGTTCAGTTTGGCCTGCAGCTTTCCCCCCAAAAGCCTCTACCTCCCTGCCACTCTGCTCTACTCCTTTTGGAAGAGCAAGGGGTCTTTTCGCAATGCAAGGGTCTTTTCGCAATGCAAGTCCAGTGCGGCTCAGAGCTTCTCCTCATGATGACAACACGAGGGGATGGGGGACAGCCCACCTGGTTCTGTGCTCTCAGTGCTGTGGGGACACTGGGGCTGTTCTGGGGACTGAGCAGCTGGCAGGGCTTGGTGGTGACAGGACAAGGTGCTGGCCATGACTTCCAGCAACACAACCTGGGGCTCTGCCTGCAGCAGAGACCACATAATCAACAGATTTAGAACACAGTGCATGGTTATTTTTATAAAACTAAAAAAAAGGCTTTATTTCTTCTGTGAAGAGCCCAACAGAGCTATAGAAACAGACAGCAGGACAAATATCTCAGGGGTTTACAAGTGGGAACGGGGAGGGATGGAAGCCAGGTATGGTGTGGCCATTCCTCCCCCAAAGATAGGGCCTCAGGAAGCTGGAGAAAACTTTTTCCACTGCTGTGGGGTCCTGCTTGTCAGGAGCTACCTCTTCTTTGAGCTCCACTTTAGGAAAAGTGCCAAGCTCCAGCAAGAATGGTCTGACAGCAATGAACCAGTGTCTTCTCCCAGGCAGTTACGTGAGTTGAGAGATGACCCAGGCAGGAAGAGAGCGAGGTGGCTTCTCCAGAGCTGCCATGCATGCACTGAGAAGCCCTGTGCACACCTCCTGCACAATCCTTTCTCTTTGGCACAAGGGGCTGGAGGCAACTGTGGCCATTTCTCAAATGGGATGATCTTTCCTTCCTGCAGACCCTTGGAGCTCAGATCTCAAGGATGTCCCCCTCCACACCACACCTGCTGCAGTGTCCCCACACATGCCAGGAGTGCCCAGTGCTGAGTCCAGTTATCCAAATGCTTCCTGCAGCTTTTGCTGTGCACTGACACAGGTTCGAAGCCTGGGCAGGAAGAGGAGCAGTGTGGTCAGTGCTTGCTCTGATGCTTCTCTGAGGTTACGCTGGTGCCACAGCAGAACTCGGACATCAGCATCTCCAGAGGTGCTTCCCCGGCAGGGAAAGCTTTGTAAAGAAGTCCCTAATTTTTTCACTTTCTCTTTGCTGTCCAGCTCCACGTGTGCCTGCACAACAAAGACAGAGAAAACCGCACCAGGCAGAAAATGTGCATCATGCCCTACCCTGGACTGTCTGTGAACCGAAGGAAGCATCACGGAGACCAAACCGTAAGCAGCACACACGACCAGTGCCAGCTACGAACCGGCAGGCGATCAAGTGACTACCGGGAACAGCGATGCCCGCGGGCAGGAGGCGGGCAGAGGGACAGCCCGCGGAGGCGCAGCCCCGCACCAGTAACCCCGGCAGACAGCGGGCGGCGGCCGATCAGCCCGGTCCCCCGAGGCCCCGCTTACCCTCGCACTTGCTGGGCAGTCGCACCCAGTCCGAGTCGTCGCCCCGCGCCAGCGCCGCCACCATCAGCAGCATCAGCAACGCTGCCCCCGCCGCCGCCGCCATGACTCCGCTTCCGGGGCGCGCTCCCGCCCCGCCACGCCCCGTTACCAAGGCGACCCCGCCGCGCCGGCCAATGGCGGAGGCGCGCGTGACCCGCGCGACCAATCCCCGCCGGCCGCCGCCAGCCAATCGCGGCGGCGCGCGGCCCCCGCCGCACCGCCCCCGGGCGGTCCCGCCGAGCGCCCGCGTGGGACGGGGCGCGCACGCGGCCGCGCCGCCCCTCGGGCACCCCGCAGCCCTGCGGGGGCCTCCCTGCCAATGGAACTCCGGAAACTTTCCCCCGCGAGGTACCTTGGGGCCCCTTCCCTACCTCTGGATAATTTGGGATCCCTTCCCATCCTCCAGGTAATTCCGGGGCCTTGCCAGCCACAGAAATGTGTCAGCTCCTCTCTTGTCCACCCAAACCAAGATTCCCATCCTGTACGTCTCCCAGCCAACACTGGGTCTCCTCTCTCCTCCCTTTGGGAGTCCCCTCTCTAGTCTCCAGAACATTTCCAGTGACTTCCACACCCCTACACCAAACCAGGACTTACCCTTGAGGCGTGGGCAGTTGCCCATGCCCTCAGCTCTGGGCGAGGAGAAGGGAAGTGAGAACAGCATCAGAGAGCAAGACTTTCAGCAACACCACACGGACAGCCATAAGCAGCACTGCCAAGGCAGGGGCTGATGACACTGCAATGGAAGGGTGGGGTGATGCCCGCCACAGACACCCCACTGCACCCACATCCTTTCCAGGCCTGCCATGGCACCACGTTTGGGCAAACCCGGGATCTTTACACATTCCAGAGACACTTCATGTCATCCTCATTCTGTTCCCGAGGGCAGGTTGGCTCTGACCCAGTTTCCCTATTCCTCCCACCAAGGTGAAGATTCCCTCCCTCTTCCTCAATCTCGCAACACTGGGAAAACCCATCCCAACCACCACATAGCCCCAGCCAAGCCACTGCCAGGGCTTTCTCCCTGGCAGCTGACATTCCCACCAGGCAGGGGCCAGAGACTCACCAGCTGTGCTACACAGCTCTGCTGCCTCCTCGTTGCCTGTGGGATGAAAGAGCAGCTGGGGAGGTGCTGGCAGCCCAGCACCAGGTGCATGGCAGGGCTAGCCACAAACCCCTTCCTGTGATTGGGACAGCAACGTTTGCCCCTAGGGCCTCACACCTGCTCCCTGCTGTCCCCAGAGGCCCTGCCGACCTCTGTCCTCGGGGACCACCAATGCACCCACCAGGCTGGGCAGCAGAGGCCAAGGCAGGCAGAGAGGGTGGCAGCAAGGTCATCATACCCGTGATGCGGATGGGGCTGGAGCTGTGGGATGGGGAGGTCCTGTTGGCCCCCACATGGCAGGCAAGTTCCCTCTCACGCTGGGGGTCACTGGAAAGGAGGGAGACGGAGCAGACGGTGCCGCCATCCTCCCGGGAGGCCCCATAGGCAAAGGACTGCAGGATGCTACCATTCCCACCAGAGATCCAAACAGCATGGCCAGAACTGGGAGCCAGGTCTCTCACCACACACACCACCAGCTGCCGGCGCTGTCCAGCCACCACCATGCTCAATGGCTGGGTCAGTGTAGGCAGTGGTACAGCTGCCCTGCCAACTGAGAGAGACAAGGTTTGGGGCACTGCTTCCCTCACACATCCCACCCAGCACGGCTGCCAGCTCGGCAGAGCTCAGCCTTTGCATCCAGGCTGGGTGGCACCCGGCCTTTCTGCCTCCTGGGTTTGTCCCGGGAGTACTCACGGGGCAGGAGCGGGAGCAGAGCGGCAGCCAGCAGCACCCGGAGCAGCTCCATGGCAGCTGCAGCGCATGGGGCCACCAAGGGCTCAGCCCCCACCCGCAGCTCCAGCTGCACCGCCCACCGGCGCGGCGCCCCGCTGCCGGCGGTACAGCCCCGCTCCGCCCCGCCGGGGCCGCCGCTCCTTCCCGGCCGCGCCACGGAGCGAGTCCCGGCCCCGGGGGCGCTGCGGGCCGTGCGGGAACCGCCGGGCGTGCGGCACATCCGCACCTCTTCCCCGGGCACACCCCCACCGCCTCCCGCCTGCCGAGCCCCCAGAGCACCCCCCGGCCCAGCCGGCAGGTGAGGAAGAAACTGCACAAGAACTCTGGGCCGTACCGCAGGGTACGGCTGTGCCCGGGACACACGCTCGGCCCTGCGGTGGCTGGGGCAGGCAGAGGGAAACGGACAACACCTGGGACAGGCTAGGGTGGCAGCTGCTGTGGACTTAAGGGGAGGACGAGCTTCAGTCCTACAATATCCATGCTGCACAAGCATGAGCCAGACTGGAAACGCATCTGCTTTATTCTTCCTCAACCAAACACACCAAAACAAACTCCAAACCCCAGCACCGCTGGGCTTGGTGACACCAAGCACTTCCAGAACGCACCTGGCAGAACCAAATGCACCAAAACAAACTCCAAACCCCAGCACCGCTGGGCTTGGGTGACACCAAACACTTCCAGGACGCACCTGGCAGGACAACCTTGATTACTTGCAGTCAAGGCTGTGTCTTCATGCAGCAGAACTTCGTGCCACCTTCTTTATGACTCAAGGCACATTAATTGAAATAAAGAAAAAACGTACAATAATTTCAACACAAACCCATCATTAAGGCATACGTTTTCCGAAGATTTTTCTTGAAAAAAACGAGGAAATTTTTTTGGTGATGATTTCCAGCATTCACTTCATGCTGTTTTATGACCTCTTCATACCTACAGTTCAGCCTGAATTCAAAGAACCCAGTCACTCTCAACCCAGGAGCTTGGGTGGAGCAGCAATATTGCCTGATTTTCATACCCATCTGAATAGCTGGTGATCCTTTGGGAAGTCCAAACAAACCAACAGACCCACCTTTCCTTGCCCTACAACTTGGCAAGCACCATGTCGCAATACAAACATCAAAATAATCTTGAATTCTTTTGAAGAACCTGAGAACTAACTTAATACCCGAAACTCAGGGAAAAGAACAACTTCATATGTGCCTTCTCCCCCCAACTATTCATCATGCCAAGGACCAAGCTACTCCACGTTGAGCTTTGTTTTTATGTTCATGGCTGCCAGCTCAGCCACGAAGTAGCGGAAGACATGGGGCACAGGGACAACCTCGATGGTGTCCACCTCACTGCAGATGGAGCAGGAATACCTCCTGCTGCTGGTCACAGAGGAGCGGGACAGTTTCTCCAGCACAGGGGATGTCATGCTGCCGCAGCTTGTGCACACGTAGGCTACGGAGCCGTCGGAGCAGTTGAACAGGCGATCCTGCAGCAGGAAGGACGTGCCATGGGCCAGCAGAGCATCCCGTTCCATCTCGCCGAAGCGGATCCCACCTTCCACGTTCCTGCCCTTGACAGGCTGGTTGGTGACAGCATCTCGGGGCCCCGTGGTCCTCACCTGGAACTTGTCAGAGACCATGTGGCGCAGACGCTGGTAGTACACCACCCCCACAAAGATGTCAGCCTCCAGCTCCACCCCGCTGATGCCGCTGTACATCTTTTCTGTGCCAAAGAAGTTGTAACCTGCGCTCGCTAAAGTCTCACCAAAGTATTTCAGAGCAGACTTCTTCTCGGTGAAGGTGAAGGGAGTGGCATCATAGGAGACCCCATGTAGGGCTGCTGACTTCCCTGCCATGCTCTCAATTAACATCCCAATGGTCATGCGGGAGGGAAAGCCATGAGGGTTGAAGAGGATGTCTGGAACCATCCCATTCTCTGTGAAGGGCATGTCCTCGACGGGCCAGAGCTGGCTCAGGATACCTTTCTGTCCGTGACGGCTGGCAAATTTGTCTCCAATAGTGGGATTTCGGGGAACCCTCACAGTGATGCAAACCTTCTTGAACTTCCCAGTGCCACGGTCATTGCTGCACAATCTAACGTTGTCCACAATGCCCACTTCCTTACTCCTGTGTAAGTGGAGGAACAATCATAGCAAAGGTGTCAGGCTTGATAATAATTTTTAGTTTCAAAAGGAAAATGAGGCAAAAAACCTAAACTACTTATAAAAAGTCTTTGGACAGCTGAGAAACACCACCATTCTTCAAAGTACTACTCAGTAGTGAGGGAACTCAGACTGTGTAAGAATTAGGGCAAGGAAACAATTCAAAGGCATCTTCCAAGTGCCATTCAGGTATCACTTTCAGGTGATTGGATAATGTGCCACCCATGATATAAATTAAGGATAATTTCAACCTAGTTCATCTGTTATCACACTTTGTATCTGATAAAACTGCATCCCACTGCCATTTCTATTGTGTTAAGGCAGCAGCCCCTCTCCCTACCACCAATAAACTCACACCATACTGATGGGATCCCAAAATAAAGAACTTGATGCTGTTCTTCAGTAGAGAGGGAAGTTCAGAACAGAAAGGGCAAAGTGTGAGCTTTGACAAGTGTCTTGCTCAGGGTTGTGCTTCTTCTATAGATGAGCCCTCAGCCTGATATTCCATGTGCCAGGGGTCTGCTGCAGGCTTGTTTAACTGTTATCATGTCCACATACAACCAGCACAGGCAAATCACAAAAAAAAAAAAAAAATATTCTCCTGGGACAAGCCAGCTCTGCAGAACACACTGGCTTAGAGAAAAGATGTGATATATGTCTGGGAGTCACCTACAGCATGAACTTCATGCTCTCTGTCATGCCATGGACACTATTATGTGAGGAGAAAAGGGAACATCTGTAGGGGAAGGGCCAACTGCTCTCCCCACGGGGTGAGCAGAGCCAGGAGCGACAGGCTGTACTTACGGATAGTACACAGTGAAGGTCTCCCCTGTGTTGAGGTTCATGAAGCTGTAGAAGGGATCCCCAGGCTGCAGGATAGACCCAACAAAAGGCAGTCCATCAGCATCCAGCTTCTCCCCAATGTTTGGATCGCCAGGCTTGATGCCAAATACTAAATTATCTCCTGCCCTGCTGGCTTTAAGGGAAAGGTCAATGCTCTCCGCCTTGATAACACTTCCATAAGCAAATCCTCTCTGCCAGGAAGATTTATTTACAATCTAAAAGGGAGAAACAAAAGCCTGTTAAAGACTTGCTGATAACTTCAAAAAAGAAAACATTTACAAAGGTAAGCATCAGATCAAAATGGGAACATTGCCTTTTTAAAGTTTCCCAGTAAGTCACCATTCCAAAAAGCTCAAGCCTCATGTAACCCCAGTATTTTAAAAAGCTGGAAGACCATGGCCTTGGACAAACGAAGCTCTGCTCTACTCCCAGAACACCCAGCTGTAACAACACAACCACTGTGCTGCTGAATCTGCTCAAAAGGTGTGAGGACCAGCAGAGAAAGAAAGTGGGGTTTTTCTAGCTGAGTGTCACCCCTACTCCCAGTGCCCCACATCAAATTCCTTCACAGGACAGCAGGATTTTTTCCCTTCTGGTGGCTTACCATTGCATCTTCCATGTCATAGCCACTGTAGGAGATGACAGCCACGATGGAATTGGTGCCAACAGGATAGCTGTCCATCCCATAATAGTCATACATGCTGGGCCTCACCAGAGGGCTCTGAGGGGTGTGCAGGTGGTACAGCTTGTTATCTGAGCGATCCTTGTAGTTGTAAACAGGAAACCCCATGGTCTGCTTTCCTGGAGGGAAGGAGGGAAACTTGGATTTATTCCTCTGTGTATCTTGTTAAGAAAAAAAGCTGGAAATACATACAAATTTAGAGGGATTATCAATCTTAACTCCCTTGGAATTTAATAATTGCCCTAAGCCCAGCTCTAATTTTTCTATGAACCACAATACACAATGCCTTTCACAGCATTTCATAAGGACTACATCTAATTTTATTTTCTCTTCTGCAATTTCAAAATTCCCATTAAGGTTACTGTGGTCTTTCTGGTTTTGCTTACTTGATTTTTTTTTTTTTTT